TAACCGTAGATTCCGGAGTACTCCCGCGCTGTTTACGAAAAGTACTTGCATTTCTCACTTTTGTTCAACTTCTAGTTTCATAACGAACACCGAGCCCCCCACTCGAACTATCAATGCGAAATCAGCCCTGAACAGCCTTCCGAAGAAAGGTTAGTTTGAGCTATTGTAATTGTATTAAATCTTTGTATTTAAGCAGAGTAAATGACGATATTCGATTTTCAATCATGAAGTAAGGCTCGTCAATTAGTATTGCTTTAAACTCAAATCAAGGCACAGTAAGTTATGGAGTTTGTGCTGAAAATGAAAATTTTGATGCAAGACAGTAAACTCTTTATCTTGTAGTTGTGTTTACAATTTTCGGTTGATTTTATGTTTTGTGACTGTCAATCTTTGAGTACATGTTCAGGATCTTCGTTTTAGAAGAAGAATTATAGAGGAGAATCATGCAGGAAATTTTTTTTTGATACATACTACTTCTTGCCTTCTTGGTCAAAAAATTCAATACTACAGTAATAATATTGCGCATGCTTTTTTCTTCATTTCCACTTTGGCATGTTCTACATGGTACGCGATCATAATTAAGACTGAACTATGAATAGCGAAACGGCCTCCAAAATCCAGAACTGGCTTAAAATATGGATGCCTAGCGGCTGGAATTTTGATATTGTTACTTGATTTTCTTGAAGATGGTTGATGGATGTTTGTGCTGTAGTTGTCTCAATAGGAATGTCTGGTAAGCACTGCCCGCTGTTTGGAAGTGAAATTAAAAAAAAAAAAAAAAAAATTTGAATTGTTGTGGAATCATGTGTAAGTCCAAAAATAGTTACAATTTTAATTAAAAAATTTTACAGCATTTGTTGACAAACGTTGAAAGACATATTAGGCAATTGAGATATGAGAACATATATGAAATTGAGAGTGTACCAAATAAATCAGTTATTGCGGTGTTAAAACATTTGGCTGTAAACTTAGTAATTTCTTACTCTCTCTATTCTGGTTGTTTGTGAAGGGCCTGAAATTTAGTTAACTTGCTTTATTATATTGGTTTCGTTTGGATGTGACTATGATATTACACATATGATTAAAAAAAAGATGATGAAAGAAAGATGCATTGATTTTCTGCTAATATGAAACTCTCTAGTCTTATCTTCTTGTAACTAGGTCTTTATTCTAAGTTTCTACAGATTGATTTGTTTTGGTTTTTCTTATTCAGGTTATTATTTAATTCAATTTTAGGGGGTTTGGTTGTGTATATCACGACAACAAAATTTTCTTCCTATGTAATTTGGCATTTTATGGTTGTATATTAAATTTATTAGTCATCAAACATCATATATGGTTCTCCAGTAACATCTATAGCATACGAATATACATTCGGTTGGTCAGAAGATTATATGATAAGAAAGTTCATTGGTATTTGTTAATTGCTTCCATGTGTTAAGTAGTTTGATGAAAGTTATGAAGATGTTCTCTCGGGAAAGAAAGAAGTACTTAGTATTTAGTACCTCTTAAAATACTGCTTGTCATGTGATCATGTGCAATTGGCTTTGAGCTTTCTGACTTGATGCAGACATGTAACTTGGCAAATTTTTACATCCTTGAGCTAGTTCTATTATGCCTTTAACGCTGGTCCAAAATAGAAAACATTTAAGAGACAGAGGAAATACAAGTATAATATTATAGTATCGTTCTACTATTAGTGAAATATTACTTATTTATTCATTCAGATCCTTCATTTGATTTACTGGCATGGTTGTTTTACAGTTTCAAGACTCTTGTCTCTTTTTTTTTTTTTTAGATTGTGCATCTCCTTCTCTCCCGTACACATTGCCAGAGTCTGATAATATGCTCCACCACTAACTACATATAATGTAAAGTTAATTTGTTTTATATAAAATTTCCAGACTTGGGTGTTGACTAATGTCACTTTGTGTACGCCACTGCTCAGAAGCAGTTGCTTTCAGGCATGGAGAGTAGTTGGAATAAGATCTAAACAAGGATTAAACATTATAAGTCTTAGCTTCTAGACATTTTAATGTGTTATAAAAATACTTTGAAATTTAATTGAAAGTCATGGTATCTCTGCATGTTATTCATGAAATCCACACTGATTGGCGGTGGGAAACTCACCAGGGGACTTTAAGTCACTTCATAAATAATGTCTTCTATTAATAATGTTTTCCTCCGGCCCATAACAGGTGTTCAATTTCAATCTATCTAACTTTTTTGTCATCGTCTTGATAACCTATTCTTTCAATAACATTTATGTGGGGTAATATATCTTTTCTTGGGTCCAAACTGCAATAGAGCTTATCTGTTTGTTTTCTTTCAACTTGGTGCTATCCTTTTTTGCACTACCTTCCCACTAGAACCAGAAACTCTTATGCTTCTGTCTCAAAAATATTATACTAACTCTAACTCAGCTGTGGCTGCGTCTTTGCACAGAATGTACGTTTAAGTGATCAACAATTTAACCATTCTAGGACCGAGAATCGCTCATTTGTGGAAAAATCAACATACAGGTAAAACTCACTTTGAAAAGGCCCAAAATATTCTGTGAAAATAAACATGTGCAAAGTTTGGTGTCTGAGGTTGAGAATTCGCGTGCAATGGACAAAAAGAAAATAAATAAATAAAACGGAATTAGGGTTTTTCTTCCCTCTTCCTTTTCATCGCATTCAATCCAGTGATTCCCCATGTGATTGTTGTCAAGCTTGATTTTCTCTTTAGTCAAGTATATATTTATTTATGTCAGGAATAATCCACTGAATGCCTTTATTAGCCAATATGGACCCACGTGTGGCCCAACATCTAGTTTACATATGAACAAATAACAAAGTTCTTATTAGTATTGTATTTCAGTATTAACAAATGAATATAGTAAAAAATGCCAAAATTTTGGATGTGTCACAACGTCGTCAATGGTATGATGATGNGAATCTGATAATATGCTCCACCACTAACTACATATAATGTAAGGTTAATTTGTTTTATACAAAATTTCCAGACTTGGGTGTAGACTAATGTCAGTTTGTGTACGTCACTGCTCAGAAGCAGTTGCTTTCAGGCATGGAGAGTAGTTGGAATAAGATCTTAACAAGGATTAAACATTATAAGTCTTAGCTTCTAGACATTTTAATGTGTTATAAAAATACTTTGAAATTTAATTGAAAGTCATGGTATCTCTGCATGTTATTCATGAAATCCACACTGATTGGCGGTCGGAAACTCACCAGGGGACTTTAAGTCACTTCATAAATAATGTCTTCTATTAATAATGTTTTCCTCCGGCCCATAACAGGTGTTCAATTTCAATCTATCTAACTTTTTTGTCATCGTCTTGATAACCTATTCTTTCAATAACATTTATGTGGGGTAATATATCTTTTCTTGGGTCCAAACTGCAATAGAGCTTATCTGTTTGTTTTCTTTCAACTTGGTGCTATCCTTTTTTGCACTACCTTCCCACTAGAACCAGAAACTCTTATGCTTCTGTCTCAAAAATATTATACTAACTCTAACTCAGCTGTGGCTGCGTCTTTGCACAGAATGTACGTTTAAGTGATCAACAATTTAACCATTCTAGGACCGAGAATCGCTCATTTGTGGAAAAATCAACATACAGGTAAAACTCACTTTGAAAAGGCCCAAAATATTCTGTGAAAATAAACATGTGCAAAGTTTGGTGTCTGAGGTTGAGAATTCGCGTGCAATGGACAAAAAGAAAATAAATAAATAAAACAGAATTAGGGTTTTTCTTCCCTCTTCCTTTTCATCGCATTCAATCCAGTGATTCCCCATGTGATTGTTGTCAAGCTTGATTTTCTCTTTAGTCAAGTATATATTTATTTATGTCAGGAATAATCCACTGAATGCCTTTATTAGCCAATATGGACCCACGTGTGGCCCAACATCTAGTTTACATATGAACAAATAACAAAGTTCTTATTAGTATTGTATTTCAGTATTAACAAATGAATATAGTAAAAAATGCCAAAATTTTGGATGTGTCACAACGTCGTCAATGGTATGATGATGTAGCAAGTTAGCATGATAACACAAGGTTTGCACTCGATTATACCTTTAGGGTTGATAGACAAATCTTAATCCAGAAACTTAAGCCTTAAAATCTGAAGAAAAATCTGAATAATGTATTGAATTCATCTAAAACGAAAAATAAGTTTATATAGGATGACAGTCACACTCATAACAAGACTCCTAATAACAAAAAGAAACAAAAACTAAATTAATTAAAACAAGAAAACTCAAAATAAAATAGAAAAAAACATGTAAACAATAAAATAGTCCCGAAACATACCAAAACGGTGGATTTTGACTTCGAAAATAATTTTCAACCAGCTAAAGTGGGTTGTCACGTCGATGGGCTCGAAATAAGTTTTTCAACAGTATCTTTGAGTCCCGTAACTCTTTTTGAATAAAAAATTATAACCATTTAAATAAAATATGCTCATTTAAGACTTTTAAACTTTAAAATATGCTCATTTAAGACTTTTTAACTTTTTGCTTGGACTTCTAACCTTCAGAACACCCCCCATTAATTCATCCAGCATCGTTCTACGGCGTATGATCAGCCATTTCTCATACCAATGTTCACATCACTGAGGTACAGAAACCCTCGGTCTAACCAGACACACAGTCAAACAATGGGCTGCTGACAGGGCTTTTGATATAATTATACCATCGACTCGGTCAGACTGATTAAATTAATACGAAGTGCCAAAGGAGAAAAGAGAGAGAGAGTAAATCTGATACTCTTTTAAGAAAATCTAGAGGAATTTAATATATTTTTTTGCCATTTCATATATTTATTTATTTCCTAGATGGATTTCCGTTTTCCTGTATTATCCATAAGATTACTACATCAAATATCATAAACTCATAATCGAAACAAATCAAACCAACTGTATCTCACAAAAGAACAAGTGTTTTTTTTTTCTTTTTTCTTCCTAATTTTTTTTTTTTTTCTGATTTTTTGCCTCCCAACTCCAAGTCTCTAAGCTGTTAAGAAGTCTAATATTTAACAGCTGGTGACCATCCTCTTCATACAAAGAGAATGAAATATTTCGCTCGCATTTGATTTCACCAATCACCATTCTCCATATATGAATCAACCTCTTTCACCCTTTCTTTTATTTTGTTTTTTCTCCAAAATTTCTCTATTCTTTTCCCTTTTGAATCACCTATTTCTGACTTCATTTTGGTTTTTTGACTTCTTTTTGGGAGCCGCCCTCACAATTCACAAGCAAAACAAAAGTTCTATATAAAAAACAAAACAGATTGATGGTGTGAATAGAGCCCATCTTCCTTCACTTTTTATTTATAGCTCTACTTCATAAGGTCTGTTTAGCTTCCTCCTTTTGGGATCCGGTGTATTATTTGAAGAACTTGGACTTGACCCAACCGTTGTGTCATCACTTTTATAGCTCAAGCAAGCCGCATCCAGCACCCCAATTGGACTTTGGGGCACAGAAGCATTTGCACTAGTCAATGACAAATCTTGTACTATTTTTACACACTCAACCATTCTCTCCTGCAAAAACCATAAAGATGTATTAGACTCTATAAAAACTTGTCTCAATTCTTTTTATTTTACAGTAATCAAACTGAAAATGATTACTACTACAAAAGTAAAACCATCATTTGTGCCTCCTTTTGGTTTTGGACCACTGACTTTACCTTTTTTACATATTGAGTGAGAACAGAAATTGCTTTCTCTGTATCAACTGTTTTGGTTTCCTCTGCAAGAGATATTGCCACAGCTGCTGCAACCTCAGAAGGCTTGAATTCCAAGAAGTCAATCCCTGCATTCAATTCCCACCCACCAAAACATCAGAGCCTCTCTTAAATTTCTTCATCATAATACTGCAGAGAGATATTATTATGAATAGTAAATAGTCTGTGTGTTATAAAAAGAGACTGGACCTTTTATAGTGCTTATTATGAGTTGGATTGAACTCAAGAATGAAGTTCTTAGTGGGATTTGATCACCATCATTGATCTTGCGAATGAAGTAGTCTATGTAGGAGAATGGGGTAATTGCTTGCATTCTCCACCTCAAGGTGCTTAGCAACAAAAGCTCCATTCTTTTTATAGTTCTAGCTTCAAACAAGTACTTTGTATCACCCACCTGTTAACACTCATTACAATCAGCCCATATAGATCAAAACAGAAACTTTACAGGACAGCTAAGGCAAAGGCAATACTAAATTGGAGCAACTTTAACCTGTAGATCTACACATGATGGAACTTGAGTCTCCTCCATTTTGGCCGCAACCGACAAACATGCCACGGCCAACAATTGCATCATCCAAGCTTTACCCTTCTGCAAATAGCATAAAAGTAAGTTTAGATGCAATAAGAAATGCAGTTTAGTCTATAGATGCTAAAAAGAATGGCAGCTTAATCCTCAACTTACAGGCAATTCATAGGCAGAGAGAAATCTGTCCAAGTAGTTTATGGATAAATAAGCACAGAGAGGTCCAAAACCGAAATGGGTGTTAACCTGTATAACCAATTGGTCGTCAGCATTAATTAACAATAAAACTGAGAAGGAAGGAATCAGGCAAACAATTGAATGGAACAGAAGGAAGAACAACTCATACACCTTTGCAATCAGAATAATCAAGACAAAGGTAATGAAATAGAATAGGAAATGCAAAGACACAATTTCTGTAAATGAACACTTAAACCGATATATTATTGGCATCGATCCAAAAAGCAGAAAGGAAGGAAGTCAAGAACCCACCAAACTCAAACCACCACTAATCATCAAATCACTGTTACTCTTAACATCAATGCCAAATTGCCAATCCCAAAAGCTAGAATAGGAAGAAACCAATATCAACATTGGCCCAATATCAATATCAATAAAACGATGACCCATTCCTAGCGCATACTTGTAACTTCATCTCAATGAAACCATCAAACATATTAAAATCAGGTAATATAATGTTTCAAAGAACCATTTTTGGAGAAACTACGAATATTAACCATCCATATCAAAGCCAAAACAATAAAAAATTCATATTTCTAAGAACCCACCTTGACAATCCAATCGACAGCCTCTTTTCTAGCCACCAAGTCCAAATCCCCAATTTGCAGTCTCTTCAAGTAATCACTATTTGGCAAATGCTGGCATTCCTTTTCAAGCATCAAAGCCAAACACTCATCACTCTGCAATGGTAATATATCTCCGCAATCATCAAACCTCTTGTTTTGGTTACGGGTTTGATGATTCCCATGATACCATGTGGCCTCAAACTCCTCCACCACAACCCCATGGTAATCGGTATTGATATCATCGAAAATGCTATTGTTATCCTCTGTACACAGAAGGCTTGAAACTGCAGAGTCAAAACTTGGTGCCATTACAGAAGCCTCAAATAAAGAAAAGAAAAAAAATTATGCTATTAACACTCAAAAACAACAAGTTTCATCAAATGAAGTGGTGACAATAACGAGCCTTTGATTTCTATATATGTAAATTGAAAATGTTTAAATGTTTTGGATGATAAGAACAGAGAGTCTTGACCAAAGAATTGGAGGAGAAAGAATGGTTTATAAGGGTATATATAAGAACAAAATAACTATAGTCTATCGCTCTCTTAAAGTAAAGTTGAGGCCTTGGGGCTGAAAAGACTGCCACAGTGAGGGTTTATGAAGTAAATGAGTGCCTCTTTTTAGGGTATAGGCGGGGAGAGAGAGAAAGAGAAGGAGCATGGCAGTATCCTAGTATTAGAGTCTTGACATAATTGAGAATCAATGGAAACAAGAGAAAAAATATTAATACAAAATGGAAGAAGGGCATTTACAAGATTTTGTACAGTAGTACTGAGATTAGAGAGAAAGACAGTATTGTCTTGACAGCGATATCTCTTGAGCACTTATTAATGGGGGTATGTACGCGGAAAGTGTCTGCTCAGGATCAACGCCTAATGGTTACTGATTTTTGATATTTATGCAAAATTACATACAATTTATCTTATGTATATTCTTCAATTTATTTTGTATCACTTCTATTTCTATTTTTTTAAAATTATTTATTTATTTTATTGACACAAAATTTATTCACTTACATTAACTATTTATATACAATTTTCAATTAAGTTTGTACTAGTTATAAATCTGTCCTATTCTGCTTTACAGCTTTTTCTACCTTGTTCATTGGTTTGCATGAAATTTATTCTTTATTAACCCAATCAAATTCCTTTTACTGTGTACTCACTGCAAATTTATGCACCAAGTCAAATTATCGTAAATTCTCCAACTCATATTCACATGGTGATGTTAATAAAAATATGAAAATTCTTTTAATTATAATTTAACTTAAATAAAAGTAATTTCATATGATCTTTAACGTGTACTCACTGTAAATTATTAATTTATGCACCAACTTAACTCATTTTTTTTTTTTTTTTAATTAACAAAATATAAGTACACACATGGAATGATCTTTTTTCTACTTGATCTATCAGTCGTAGATCTATTGTTTTATACTTAAATAAGATCACAAGTCAAACATGAAAATAAAATAGTAGATCAATTTACGATTTTACCGTACAGTGTAAAAACAACATTACGCTTTAGCATAGTAATTTGGTGGAAAGATAAGAGCAAAAAGGGAATTAAACATATTGAAAGTTACAAATGGACCAAGAGTCGTGTCTTTTTCCTCCCATGGTGACGCGTGTTGTCTGATCATCATGAGATTGACTGGAAACAGCCGTTTCTCGCAGAATTGAGAAATTACAAAATTATGACTCTACTTTTTGGTCTTTTTGCCTTTTTCATACGTACTACAATTAATCAATTCATTTTTTCTTCCTCCATATACGCTATCCGTTACAAAATAAATTAAATTAAATTCACTGTACCCAATTAGCCCACGATAATGGTATCGCCACTTCACAATGTACACCAATTACCAAACCTTTTTCTTAACCTTCCGTTCCAACAATTAATTTACAGATTATTATTGATTCTTTTGGTATTAAAGTCACCATTTGTGAAAATATTTGTTTTTTGAAATAAATTAAAAATTAAATTTAGAAATATTAATTTATATGTATAATCATATAAAGTATTTTCTTAATTTGAAAATATGTAATTAGATTTAGACCGTTAGTTGGTGTTGGTGAGAGAAGGCAAGAATTATTTTACATCTCATCCTCAAATAATTATAAGCTCATGATGCGGACTTGCAGTTGCCTCTATCAATAGATCTAATTAATGGAATAATAATAAATCAAATGGTGTAATGTGATATGTCCTTTTATCTCTGTACACGTATTTTAATAGAAATTGTGATTTTACTTTATTAATTGAACCGACACATAGGGCGGCATATCAGCATATGATAATTGTATCCTTATACAAATAAAATGTTAATTACTGTTTAAATGTTGTCTATATTTAATGGACTGTATGATGATGAGAATATAATCTAAAAGTTTCCTAAGTTGAAAAAAGATACAACATGAGACACATGGAAGGCCGGCAATCTTATTTCGGGTTACTGTGTTTTAGGGTTTGATTATAAGATTACGAAATCTCCCCTAAATCAAACATGGGGAGAAAATTAAAGGCTCTTTTTAATGCCCAAAGATAACACTTTTGCTTTATTTTTATATTTGTTTATTCACTTTTAGGAGCGTCTCTTTTGGGGTTTTGTAAATGTAAAATCAAAAGTACAAAATGTCCCTAACATTCAGCAGTGACAGGTTGATTTAGATGGTTTTGGTTAATTAGGGAGATAACTAACAGAATCAATCAGATAATCTTATATTAAGACTTAATTAAGAATAGTTAAAACATGTTGATAAGTGGGTTTAGGTTTAATTAGCAATTGAAATCAAAGTTTTCAAAGCTCTGGTTGAGTGGAAGACTAGTATCATCACTCATCACATCGATCGGTCTTCCATAAACACCATCATTTTCCTTGGTAATGGTGTAAAATAAAAATGTTTCCTGAATCACCTATAATTTACGAGTCAAGGGTTACTTTAGAGACGAAGAAAACATCTCTGGTCGGTCACTTGGTCCATTGATTGTTGATGGTTCTATTATATCCCTCCAATGCCTCCATAGATGCCCCTCGACTAGGTGTTTTCTCTATTCCATAACAATAATTGACCGTTTTAAATCCCTTCTACCGCCAAAAACTTCTATCACTTTCTTCTCCAAAGCACATTAATTTTTTGTTCCTTTTTCCATACTCTAAGCACCTCGAACAAACATTTAAAATCAAGCATATATTAAAAAAATAAATAGTACTAGGATGTAGATGTTGTTGGGATTTAGATATTCGATTCAACTATTGGGTTTTTCTCAATTTAAAAATGGTATATATTCCCGATATTTACATCCTTGGCGAAACTTGGTTATCATATTCCCCAAAAAAAACAAAAATAAATAAAGGCAAGTAGATGAATATTTTATGTACATAGTTACTGAGCATACAAGGCTGAAAATTTTATTATGAATTTAACTTAGGATTCTTGCATTCATGAAGAGGTGCTTAAAAATGGATTGTTAAAGAGACTTTAGGGACACAAATTTCAAACCCTTTTTCTTCAAACACTCTTTTTCTTGGCTTTGAATTTGTAACTTTTTTCCCCTTTTGCAGTTTTACTCAGATAAATTCTCCTCAGTTGATCAAAAATCAATACTTTGCCCATATGCTTCTTGTCAGTTTTGTGCTGATTTCAAAGACTATATTCCACTTTTTAATTAAACAGAAGAGAAACTAGCACGAGCAAGGCCCCTCTTCTAAGACTTTTTTTTTTTTTTTTGGTTGGGACGGTCTAAAGAGTCTTTACTTATATATATTGTGGTTTGAGAATTGAGATCCGAGCTTCACAGAGTGTCATCCTCACCCACTACCCATTTTTTTAACTCATCCATTCCTTTATATTTTACTGCTACAAACCCAAGGCTAGATCATGTGGTTAGGGCTTTGAATATGACCAAATTTATTACCCCAATATTTCCCATTTGACTGCATTTCTGTCTCTCATCATCTAATAAACCCACCTCGCTGCCATAACACGTAATACATGTATTATTCTTCATGCATGTTTGGTTACGTGAATCACTGTATCACTACTGATGCTTGATGCAGAAATATCGCATCGCATCGTATCCCATCAGTGACCCTGTTTGGATCCGGTGATATATATTTTTGTATCTTCTAATCTTATAACAATAACATGCAGTTTATTCTGTGTGTCGTAAACACAATCCAACTAAAACCTGTATTTTAACAGAGCATCCATCTAGTTCTATGTAGACAACTAGCTTCTACTCAGCATAACTAAAAAAAATTAGTTCTATAACGGTACATTCATCATGTATATATAATTATAATAATTATAAGAATGCAACAATAGAAATCATCAGTTATATATCAACTACAACGTCGCTCATTTTTCACTAAATAACTGGAGGATGTAATTGGGTTCACTCTTTGTTAATATAGTTTGTTACCGTCTAATTTAATGTTGTAAAGAGTAATTAAATTGTGGACTCACAGTCACAGGTTCTAGCTAGCAAAACTTATTAGGGAATTGTTAAAGTCCGTACCAAGAATAATATGAGCCATTTTAAATTTCGTTGAGATTTGATTTGAGAAATAAAAAAAAAAAAAAAAAAAATCTCTGCCTTTCTCGCGGCTACCGTTAGACAGTAGTATTAATTACACATAAAAGGAACGTCTCTAACTCTATCAAGATCCAGATCGCACATTTAGCATCAGGTCAAGCTATTTCTAAAGCGCGCGCGCGCGCCCGCCTTTGCATTTTGCAAATCTGTTAACTTATACTGGTGCTACCTGCCTCTGTATATTAAACTGAGGCGCCAATCGATCTTGAGATTCACCACCTGCTTCTGATAATAGTTTAAAAGCACAAGTGTTGCTAATAAAAGAAAGTTGAAAGAAATAGGCGTGCATGCATTTAAGTTTATTGTAACAATTGGTGAGGTAGCTAGGCATGTGCAAATGCAACATCTTCCAACGCCGTGGCCATCCAGAACATCCGCCGTATCTCCTGTGTCTCCACTATAATCACCACCCTCCGATTAAAATATTCCCACGAGGATCGATTTTGGGTCCACACGTCTCCATCTCTTTGTGCAGCTTATGTAATTTTAAATTAGTAATGTCGAGTAAGCTTGGTGGTTGTTTAATATTATCATACTATATACTAAACGAACCCAAAGCAGATTGAGCTGGCAAATGCAAAGTCACCTGTCTTGGCTGAAGCTATGTCTTTATCAAAATTCTCAAAATAAATAAGAAAAGCGTTGCTGGTTTTGCTTTTGGGATTCCTCATATTAGAGCCAGGGACCAAATGCTTATGGGATGGGGGTAAGGGAGAGACAATACTATACAGTTCAATTTTTAGTCATATTTATTTATTTAATTCTTAAACTTCAATTCATGGATTCGTATTATTATTAGTCAAATGCACTCTCGCTTTCAAGGAGCTATTCTTAACTGATTAAGAAATTATGGTAGCCAGTTGGGGTTGTGTTTTCATGCTTTCAGAATCAATTAACGGAACATGTTAAGTCCCCTACTCCAACGAACCTTTGTCTTTGCTTCATTTGTCTTTTTTCTTTCCTTTCCGTTTGGTCAAATTGGGTCTCTCAAGTCTAAACCTTGCTTTCAAACTTGAAATTAAGTTTTCACACCAGGGCTGTCTGGATCACAATGAATTATCAATTGGATGGGTTTGCGTGA